ATTAATTTTGAATAGTGATATGATGGGAAATTTGTGGTTGAAAAAGAAGAAAAAATTATTGATGTGATGGAAAATATTATTTTATTGAAAAATGTGTGGTTGAAAATGAGAATTGATTTACTGTAAAAAAATCTAATCCCTCCCAAATAGGGCCTAGATAACAAATTGATGATTGACACTCAGAGACGGACCGATGCCATTTTTCTTGTGGGATCAAAAATGAGAATTCAAAAATATTTAGGCAAAAAAAAATTCAAGAGGAAAACTCAAAAAAATAAAAAAATTGTGGCATCCAACAAGCCCTTAAAGTCTCTTGCCACTCCTATCAAGAGAACGATGCTTTACCTTTGAGCCTCACGACATTTGCACCACAAAACTCTCTATGATATCGATCCCGTAACCAGTACTAAGTTAAACACTTGTACTTCGAGCCCAAAGATTCCAATAATTTTTTTGCGTCAATAATAAATGGCATCATCGAAAGGTGTAATAACATATTGAGGTTAATGACACGCTAGAGTACTATTATTCAACACCAGTCAAGGTGATATTGACTTTTATCTAAGAAGTTACTTAGACTGGTATTAAACACCACTGATGTCAGAATGATGAACGGCCTCCTCTTGGCCGTTCGATTTCTTAGTAACATCATGTTATGGTAGCACGTTGCAATCTATTGCTGTATTATTCGTGTTTGTTTACCTGCCATTGTTGCCTTCGTCCCTCGACTAAAATAAAGTCAAAGCACAATCTGCTTAAAAATTAATTAAGGAAACTGATTGGTGGCTGTCTTAATAATCACTGGACTGTACCATTGGGCTTTTTCCATTTGTGTGTGTGTGTTTTTCCTTCTTTATTTTTCCGTTTTCTTGTTTCAATATTGCTATATGTACATCAAGTTTGACACTGTTATGAGATGACGGCGTTTTTGATTCTGAAAAAAGTCGATCGGCTTGTGATTGTCGCAACAAAAAGACTATGCCTATGTTTAGGAAATAGTAAAAGTAACTTATAGTTTATTTTCAAAATCAAATATTAACTTTAGCTATATATTTCTTCTCTCGTGGACCAAGGAAACAATTCTAGAGTCGTACTTCGATTAACGTTTCTCAATCATTTTAATTCGACTGAAATCCCAGAACAACGCGGAAAGTGTAGTGACATTACGTTCATAAATTGTGTTAGAAAGTATAGTACTCCATGAGAGATAAGAAAGGAATTAAGATTTGACCAACCACATGGTTATATGTCCCAAATGTTGCCTCTAGTTGAGGGCATTGGTCAATTTCTTTAAAAAATGCAAAATGTGGGCCATTAATTGACTAAAATCACTTAAGAGATCTGAACCATCTTATATTTATTTATTTAATTTACTTTTGTTTTTAGATTATTGAACACTTTGGCCTACACCAACCACTCTATTAATGTTAGCAGAAACGGAGTAACTTATCCATTCATGTGTCCTTTGACATTGAGCATTGATAAAAGTTCATATATGTCAAGATTTCTTGTCAGAGATTCATTATGAGATGTATCCTTTTGTATTAAGAGTTTGTTTGGGATAAATTAAAATCCAATTAAAATTGAAAATATAGCCGTTATTTGGTCTCACTCGTCTAATAAAAGTCAACAATAACGGTTAGTATTTCAATTTTAATCCGATTGTAATCTCTACCAAACACACTATAAATTCAAGAGATGAATTGTGCGTGGCAATTTTCAAGTGTTGCGGATCTTATTAACTATTTTAACTTTGATTTTTGTCCAAACTCCAATTCAATATTGTCATCTTGACATTCTGTAAGCATATCTGGTAAATCTGTCTAAGCGACCTGATCAATTGCCGACGAATGTCACTAGTAAGCAGATTTTATTAGGTGGAGTTATACCCAATATTCCTCACAAGCCCTTTCCTCAAATGATCAATTGCCGACAAATGTCACTCAATGGATTTTGCATTTATCGTTCGATATCTCGTGTTGGCCGATGAAATAAATGTAGCCCTTTCATTTTCAAAAATTCAAATGTCAGAACGGTTGCAACAAATGACCTGACCAACCCAAACGGCAAGCACGTACGGCTCATAAACTCTAGGAAAGTGATTTTAATAGGAGCCAATATTTGGACATCTTAATGCCCTATCAACATCCCCGTGGTTGCTAATAAACGGCACCATTGAATAATGGAATAAATGTGTTTGACAATGAGGCAGCTTAGCCGGACCGCCAAGGGTCCGACCAAACCCACATGCCCGTATTTATTATTTAAAAGAACACTGGAAACAGATAAATTTGATTCGACTATATAAAATTACTTCATGAAAATATTATATATAGATGAAATTCAACCAAAACCCGGCTCGTGTAGAGCCATTTCTTTGCAATTACATTTCCAGATTCATGCGTGCATAATTCTTGACACCCCCGCGAACTTGCAATCTACAAGTTCGCGATCTACAACTAACTAGATAAGTTTGTTAGCATGATCAGTTGATAACAAAAGTCAAAAGTAAAGCACAAGACTTGAGTCTAGTTAAATTCTAGTATCTGTACCAGTGACCTCCGCTGAACCCAACAGCATCTCCTCTAATTGGCATTCCTAGTCTGTCTAAGCGACCTGATCCTGGATAAGCTTTGTTGGTGAAGCTGGAATGTAACGCTGAACCCTTGTGCATATTAGGTCTTGACTCACCGTATCCATGAACAGAGTACCTCTTGGTTGAACTTGATCTCTCATATTGTGGCCTTTGTTTTGGGGCACTGAAAGATCTCGCCTTAGCTTTAGATGATTCAGTGAAAGACATGTAGTTTGGGTGGTCGGAGTATCCACTCAAACAGCTTCTTGAACCGTCACTCTTAGTAGGGGTAAATGGTCCTCTCTTGGAGCTACCTCCCATGGATGATGCCGAGTAAAATTGTGGGCTGTTGTCAGCAGTGCAGAAAGTGGTTTCATCGACATCTTGTGCAAACTTCAAAGGACTCAAAGATTGAACTTCTTCGGAAGATGGACTTAGAACTGTTTGACGGGATATGGAGTCTTTTGATACAGAAAAGCTGCGACTGTTTTGGTCCAAGCCCGTGCTAAGATGGGACGAGTGAGGGAGGGTTCTATTTTTGGACATTAAATGTGGTTTCCCATTATCAACTTCAAGAATCTTATCACTTCTTTCATCATCTGTGGGGACAGATCTTATAGAAGACCCATGTTCCCACGATCTTTCGAGCATTTTGTTGTCCATCCAATTGCAACCCATGAGTGCTTTGTCTGAATCATTGATGACCTTCGGATTAGATTTTGAACCCTTTCTCTGCAATCGTTTCCAAAATGGTTGGTAAGGCATATGGTACATAAAGGCCAACCACAATCCCAGTAAGAGAGAGATTAAGAACATACCTTGAGCATCAATAATTGTTCATGCTTCATACTCCTCGTCCGATTAACATGCTCAAGTTTCTCAGGAGTTGCAGGTCCCTACAAGTTCAAAATAGATTTGATCACCAGCACAAACCAACCAAATAAGGCCCATTTCTTACTGAGTCAAGAATTCAGTAGTATGCATATCTAGATCAGACCAGCAGATGTAACACCAAATCTAAAAACCAGTTAAGTAAGCATTCAAATAGAGTCGAATAGAAGTAAAAAAAAAAATGACTAACATGAGATGCAGTCAAAATTACAGATACGTGGAAATACTACATGGCATGTATATCCACTTTTCTGCACAAAAACTTGCAGCTTTTGTCCCATAAAAGTAGGCAGCATGTAATTTACATTTTAGTGGTGTAGAACATGTACTTTCTAAAGCCTAAAACTATGCAGCTTAAAGTATTCAACTTCTTGTCATACATTGCAAGACGAAAATTTTGCTTACTCGATAATTAAAGTGAGAGGACTTCAAGCTCAAATGTGGATATTCAGAAATCAGAGTCCGTCCAGCCCTTGCTCTTGCTTGAGCTCGTAACAAAGCCTGCATTCGTCTTAAAATATCTGCCGTCTGCTTCCTCACAAGGTGACCTCTCACCAGTGCTTGAAGCTTGACTAGAGCTTTCAATGCTCGCAAAGCCCTCCTCGACTACAGATTACCACAGAAAATAACTCCAGAACATGAGCACGCACGAGAAAAAAGTAGATTATCAAAACGTGTTTGGAAATAACAAGCTAAACATCTTTTACTTTTTATTAAACTTAGTCAAACACAATCTAACTCAAGATAAATGTGTATCAGCGAACTTTGAGGTTGTTGGACACTTGAGTCAAGATTAATCTAGTACTTAATGGACGTTAAACTAGATTAAAAAGAACATGCGTACATAAATGGGACAGCCGTACACGCACCCATGAAAATTTTCAAAAGTGATTGGCGCCCTAAAGAAAGAGTTTGATTTTTGTCTTTTGAAGTCTCTACCATAAAAGTCCGACACTCAAGAAAACAAGGACAAAACTTGCCAACCGTCCTATAAAGTGAAGAAAAGTAACCAACAACCTCTGATAAAAAATCTAAAGCATTAGAGATAGAAAACTTACTTTTCTCCAGTGAAGAAAAGTAACCAACAACCTTTGACTTGCTTTTACTAGTGGCATGTAATCATATAAACTCTTAAATTTTAGAAGCTTAATCAATCAACTAATTGTTAAAGGGATAAAATCTCCCATCGAATAAAAAAAATGAGCACACGGATTTCAATATTGGTCTACTCCAACGAGCCGCCATCTTACCGGGATATGTTAAGGGATAAAAGTCCTACATCGAATAAAGATGAAAATGTAGATCAATTTGTAAGAGATTGGGCTACTCCGTAACCCCAAATCTGAATTCTAATTTGTCAAAACACCTTCAGAAAACTATCCTAACTGGTTTAAAAGCAGCTTCTTAGTAGGTCTTGCCAAACTGGCCCTTAATACTGGACAGAAATGAAAAAGAAAGCTTACTCTTCACCAAATGTGAACAGCTGAAAGTTGAATCATCGTGAACATTACCATACACATTGGAAATAATTAAAAAATGATTAAAAAATTTGGATCCACGTACCCATAAACTGCATTGTCTACCAATATGGACAAAGCCATCAACAACTACATTAAATTCTAATGAAAAAGTAATAATTTTCAAAGTATCTTTCCATAGATAATTGAAAACTCCACCACAACCAAAAAATATTCATTTTCCACATAGCTTTTGACCCCTTATTTTACCCATTTTTATCTTAATATAATAATGGACCACACTATGTATATGTATATTTATGTATCTATATGTGTACAAACATAGATGAGCAACGTACAACTCTGTAAACAAGGCCGACAACACAAATCGATACGAAAGAACAACTCAGGTGGTAGTGGAAGACGAGAACAAACACGACTGAAATTAATACAGTTCCGAAAACTTATGTAACAGACAAAGAAGATGACGGGTCAGCGGGTTTGGCTCGGCGCCATTTGACTCAGCTCCCGCCTAGCTCGGTCAGCTCGCAGTAGTTTGGTACTGTTACGTTATCCAAAAAATCATTATAACAATGAAGTACAATCTTTTATGCATCGACAGGAAACTAACCAGATAAGCACGGAAATGGGATTGAATCTTAACGGCAGCCCGTTTTTCACGATTCCCATAACTTGCGCCACCACTAACAGTAGCACTTCTCCCGCTGCTTGTGAGCTTGACGACTGCAGCAGCTGCCTGAGCCGCTGCAACAGCAGCCTCAGCTACGGCAGCGGTGGCTGCGGCCACCGCGATCGCGTGTTTACTGGCTTCACTGTCATTTTCGTTCGTTAAAACTGCCCCATCTGAGGATTTTTCTTTGTGGGATTTGACGAAACTCCATTTCTTCTTCAAGGGTTTCTGAGCCGGGTCTGTGTTAGAATCTGGTTTCTTGAAGCGCAGAAGACCACGGAACCATTTGGATGCTTTGCCCATCTGGTTTTTCTGATTGATTATTGATGAATATTGCTACAGAAATTGAGCATTTTTAGAGAGAGAGTGGGTAAGGATGTGAGTTCGGGGGAGAGTTATAAATATTGAATGCTAAGGAAGCAAAATTGGTGGGGACTTTGGGTAAAAAGTCAAATAAAATGCCCCTACTCATACTTGGGATTAGCAGCACTTATCAGGGATAATAATAAGGGTGTGTTCGGTAGGATTTAAAATTGACAAATTAGTCGTTATTGTTGATTTTTATTAGATTAATGGGACTCAATAACGATTATATTTTCGATTTTATTTGGATTTTATTCCTAGCCAAACACGCTCTAAATAGAGATTACCCATTCATGGTGGTCGAGTTGGTGGATCAGGTGAATGCGGAGATCGAATGTCACGAGTTCAAATCTCCTGCCAACACTTCCTCTGTCGAGCCCGTCACATCAGGCTTGCCTCTTGCGATTTATCTCTCCTGTGTGATTTGCGGACTACTGCACATGGAGCGAAGTTTACCCAGTACTCACTCAGAAGTAGCGGCTGCAGGTTCCTACGGCAACCAAAAGAAAAAAAAAATTAATAAGTAGAGATTATGGACTATTTGGCATAACTTAGCATACATATTATAGTATATCGTGTCTTTATTTAATGATATTGATTGCAGCTCTTGTAAGTTTAGTTCCCGTTTAAGAAATGTAGTGGCACATAAATTTGTGTTGATTCTTATTCATGCTCCAATCGATTTACGCTGAATTGATTGTATTCCCCGACTTATATCCAACAAAGCAGGTGATCTTTCTCATAATAAAAACGTCTTGTCCTAGCTTTTAAGAAGAATATATTTGCCGAATTACAAATATTAAACAAAGAGTGAACCGATCAATCCGACCAGTAAATCAACGAACTGGGCACTCGTTTGTTTCCAAATCACATTAATGAATTGGGCATTGTTCGAAACGATCAACACCTGTTAGAACCAATCAAACCCCGTCTAATCTATATGGATTTCGAAAGAAATCGAACCGGTTCAGTGAGTTGGTTCTTGGTATAAATCCTTCAATGCAAAATTTTAATAACAAAGGCAGTAGAGAGACTCCTATGAAAGATTTTGCTTCCACGACCGTGCTATCACACTATTTTTAATATAAGTCCTTCATCTATTGCCTCAATTTTCAGTAGATTAATTGAGCTAATTCAGCTTTTAGGATATTAATTACTATATCGAGCTTTTTAAGATAATATTTGTCCTCGTCAATGTCGTATTAACGCGTTATTGATGAGTTAAGACTCTACGTAAAATAAAAATAAATTAAACTCATTTTTTTATATCTCGTCACCTGAATTATACCATGCTTTCGAAAACTTTATAAATTATATAGTACTCTTCAATTTTCCGAATTGATAGTTTGAACAGAGTCGAATATTATTACAAAAACACGAAATAGCAACAAAAAATTACCAATGATTACAAGCTTTATAGAGAAACCCCTCTAGCAACATAACAAATCACATCGAATTTATTTTATATAAACATAATAAATTACTTTGAATGCACGGACGGATCCAGAACCGGATTACAGGTCGGACCAATACATAAAAAAAAAAAATTACACATTTTTTTTACGTGAATTTTTTTTTTAACTAAAAAATTTCAGTGAGTGGGGGCTGGGCCCCCTCCATCCGTCCCTGTTTGAATGACTTAGCCCCTATTAATATAGTTAAAAAAAAATTGATAAAAATGTAAGTTAAATTCAATAAATTATTTTAATTCAATATTTTACGGGATTCATAATTATTCTTACTTTTTCTTAGAATATACAGAAAATTTGATTTTTCGCCGCTTAGGGCTCAAGAGCCCAGGACTCACATCGTAAAAGTCGGTTTATGGTAGTTGAATTAGCAACCGTTCATCTTTCAAACTTTTTTGAGTCTCACCTTTTAACAAAAGTCGCTAATCAACTTCTAATTTTAGTCAAGTAGTTGAAAATACAAGTCTCGCCTTTTGAAAATAGTCTAATTGTCTAAATCAATTTCTAATTTAATCTAAGTAGTTGAAATCTACGTCCTACGTTGTTGAAATTCCAACTGAGAAACGATTTTTGTATTATTTTTAAGTATACTCATTAAGATTTAGCCCCGTTTGATTTTGATAAAGAAAGAATAATTTTTTAATAATTTTTGATAAAAATTAATGACATATGCTATTATAAAATTGATAAAAAAATGTGATCGCTAAAATATATTATTGAAAATATTTTCTAAATAGATTTTATTTTAAGAAATGACGCCGAAAAGGGGCTCAAAATGTCACAAAACAGCTCGCGAGTGACTAAAATAAAGTAAATCGGTCATCATATTTTTGTTGTAGTTACGCATTTAGTTTTTAACTATGGAAATTATTAAACTTCCATAAAGTTAGTCACGTGAGCCAACGTGTCTAACTTTATGAAATCCAGTTTTAGGCTCTGTTTAGTTCAAATTATTTTTTTCATTATCATTCTTCTACTTATTTAACCACACATTCTTCAATAAAATAATATTTTCATCACATCAATAACTTTTTCAATCACATATTCCACATCACATGAACAATAAAAATACATTTTTACCTTCAAAATGTGTACCAAACGTGGACTTATTTCAATTAGGATTGGAGTCTTTAAAAGAGAAGTGTATTATAATTGTTTAGTGAAGATTAAAATAATTTTTTTCTTTTTGAACTTTAAATCGCATATTTTTCAAAAAAAAAATTACTATTCTAAAATGCATATTTCTCCAAAATTTTAATGGGACCCAAACATGTGTGAAATATATGGATAAAATTAATTATTAATTTTGATTTAAATCAAAATTAAAATTTTAATTCCTACAGACATGAACTTAATACGACATTGACATTTTTTATCATTAGAAATTGATTTTCCAATTTATAATAAATAGTTGAAGACTAATTTGCCATTCGACTAATAAGTTGGGATACAACTATTCAAATTGTTTTAAAAATTCAAGGACCTTTAGTTAAATTCTTTAAATTAATTTTTTGGTCAAATACAGGCGAACCACGGGCTTTTATCTATTTTTAATTATATATTTTAAAAAATATATATTTTTCATTGAATTTATTCTAAAAAAAAAAATTGCATAAAAATGTACAAGAGGAAGGTGCAAAAGAGTATTGAATTGTAATTGTCAGTGTAATGTCATTTCTAACAAGTCCAATCTAATCCCTAATATTAATTAATGCTGTCGCTGAAAATGATTTGCAATTAATTAATGCTGTCGCTGAAAATGATTTGCAATCTGAAGCTGATTCCTCTGACAACAAATCTTAATCTGACGGTCTAGAGATTCCTTCCTTGCTCTAGAGAGAGAGAGAGGATAAATGTTGAGGCCAGCTGTCATGATCACGGCCACTGGTTATTTCGTGTTAGTAGTCTATTTTTTAAAAAATATATTTTTTTCAAAACTGATTATCACTCGTATATTCTCAAATAAAATAATTTTACTTGTAAATTGAAATTAGAGGACAAATTAATTTATTGAGTCAAGCGATGGAAAATATTCAATCTAGTCATGCACGTAAACCTCGCATGTTTGACTGATAGGTGACAAAAATATAAATTTACTGAATTTGTGAGAAAATAACGTGTATGTTTATTTTTTATTTAATTCAATGCTATAGGATAGAATGAAAAAGTTCATTGACTGTAGAAGTCGATGAGAAAGCGGGATTATCACATTTTTAATCCAAGTGGGCCACACATGTAAAACTAACGTTACTTCGAAGAATTATACTAGACGACTCGCATGGATGATCGCGGGGATGACTGCGCCCTCACAATCGAGGCGAGGGTCCCACCCGAATAAAATAATCCCGACCCCCATGTGTGTGTGCGCGGTCATCGGCGCGGTCATCCCCGCAGTTCATGTAGCATGGCTCTACTTCGAATTATTTTAAAAGAAATATTATTCAATTCAGTCATGCACGTAGACTCCATTGTTTATATTTTAGTGAGTTTGATTGTTAGGTGGGGAAATGAGAATTATAATGCGTTTGTTTATTTTTTATTTAATTGAATGCTATATGATAGTAGAAAAAAACAAAACTGAGGAAATTCATTGATCGTGGAAGGCGATGAGAAAGTGCGGTTATAATATTTTTAATCCATGCTAGCCAAAGTTAATTTATTGAGTCAACTAACGGTCAAATTAACATAAATCATTCATTTGGACCTCATGTGCTAATTTTTAAAAGGTTTAAGACTGTAGGTGTCATAAATTGAAGGCTTAAGGTAAAGCCTGCAAAAAGTTGAAAGGTTTGGAACCGTTGCTACAATTATCCTTACTTTTTAACTACACATTCTTTAAAAAATTACTATTCAAAAATACATTTTTCCCTTCAAACGAGACTCAAACAAGAACTTAAATAATGAATAATGCTACGTGTACATCATATTTGTACATTGACATCATCATTATTGGCAAGATTTGATTAAAGATATTGTTTTAAATTTGAAATTGACCAATAATGTGTTTCCATGTGACACAATATAAAAAAAATATAAAAGACACTGTACATATAGTATGATTCTTAAATAATAGTACTCGTGAGAACGATCATTCGAACTCATTGATTTATTATATTACTTCTTACGATCCGTACATATGAGAAATATAAAATCAACCTCAACGAGAACCGTGATCAAAAGAGTAAAATAGGAAAGTAGAGAACGAATCCAGTCATTGGAGATAAAATAATTGTATCTACGCCCCTGTTTGGCCCTCATTATTGTGCATTTTTTATGGTTGAAAATTTTTGGAATAGCGATTTATGGGAGAATGTGTGGTGGAAAAGTAGTGAAAAGTTTTAGATTTGTGTGTAATATTATTTTATTTGATAAATGTGTGGTTGTAACAAAGAAAGGGAGAAATTTAATGTAATGTAATGAAATTTAATGGGAGCCAAACATGGGCTACATTAATCCTGTGTCAGATTCATG